GCTGAAAATAGTCCTCATCGGCTTTGTTTCGCGCGATTCGACATGTTAAATCGGCGTCGGGCCGTTGGGGAAAGAGAGAACTCTGATTGGCTGTTCAGCTTAGTGAAAGAGTCAGTGCACGAGAATAAACGCAAAACAGCAAGCAAAGAAGTCAAAACGGTAAAGCTAGAAGGCTGTTCTTATGTTACGTCTTCTTACCTGACTGTTCCTTGGCGAATATTTCAATATTAACACGAGCGGAGTGGAATTGTGAGGCAGAGTCAGAAGCGTGCAGATCCATGTGCAGTATATGTTTATTAAGAATAGTCAGACAGGCAGAAGTCAACGATCAGCATTCAATATAGAGCAGGCAGTCCAGAGCATAAACAATACCAGGCAGAGGTCAGGACAGGCGGCAACAATCGTAATCCAGAGAGAGACAGGCAAGGGTCGGGGCAGGCAGCAAACAGAGAATCAAAGTCCTAGAACAGTCACGGGTCGATACACGGGCAATCCAGATAATCAGTAAAGAAACGCTCAGAAATGTCGCCGGGGCAAAACAAGACTTCGCACTGATAGAGAGTCTGAGGGCTGTTTATATGGAGCGTTGAAATGAGGAACACCTGTGCCGGTAATCAGTGCTAGGTACGGGGCTTATGGGAAATGGAGTTTGTGTGAAACCTAGTCTTATCTGGAGTGCCCTCTGGTGGATAAATAGGCCACTCCAGCTGGTAACCGTTACATAGCCCCCCCTTTAAGGAGCGGATTCCAGACGCTCCTTACAATGTCCAGGAGAGATGTGGAGGACCAGGCCCGTGGAGCGGAAGAGAACCTGGAGACTGTGGCAGAGCTGGCTGTGGAGGCGACCAGGTCGGAGCTGTGGGACCCTCGGGCGTCCACGGCGGTGAAGGTCCCTCAGGCGGCCACGGCGGTGAAGACCCCTCAGGCGGCCACGGCGGTGAAGACCCCTCAGGCGACCATGGCGGTGAAGACCCCTCAGGCAGCCACGGCGGTGAAGACCCCTCAGGCAACCACGGCGGTGAAGACCCCTCAGGCAGCCACGGCGGTGAAGACCCCTCAGGCAGCCACGGCGGTGAAGACCCCTCAGGCAGCCACGGCGGTGAAGACCCCTCAGGCGACCACGGTGGTGAAGACCCCTCAGGCGGCCACGGCGGTGAAGACCCCTCAGGCGGCCACGGCGGTGAAGACCCCTCAGGTGACCACGGCGGTGAAGACCCCTCAGGCGGCCACGGCGGTGAAGACCCCTCAGGCGACCATGGCGGTGAAGACCCCTCAGGCGGCCACGGCGGTGACAACCCCTCAGGCGGCCACGGCGGTGAAGACCCCTCAGGCGGCCACGGCGGTGAAGACCCCTCAGGCGGCCACGGCGGTGACAACCCCTCAGGCGGCCACGGCGGTGAAGACCCCTCAGGCGGCCACGGCGGTGAAGACCCCTCAGGCGGCCACGGCGGTGAAGACCCCTCAGGCAACCACGGCGGTGAAGACCCCTCAGGCAGCCACGGCGGTGAAGACCCCTCAGGCAGCCACGGCGGTGAAGACCCCTCAGGCAGCCACGGCGGTGAAGACCCCTCAGGCGACCACGGTGGTGAAGACCCCTCAGGCGGCCACGGCGGTGAAGACCCCTCAGGCGGCCACGGCGGTGAAGACCCCTCAGGTGACCACGGCGGTGAAGACCCCTCAGGCGGCCACGGCGGTGAAGACCCCTCAGGCGACCATGGCGGTGAAGACCCCTCAGGCGGCCACGGCGGTGACAACCCCTCAGGCGGCCACGGCGGTGAAGACCCCTCAGGCGGCCACGGCGGTGAAGACCCCTCAGGCGGCCACGGCGGTGAAGACCCCTCAGGCGGCCACGGCGGTGACAACCCCTCAGGCGGCCACGGCGGTGAAGACCCCTCAGGCGGCCACGGCGGTGAAGACCCCTCAGGCGGCCACGGCGGTGAAGACCCCTCAGGCGACCATGGCGGTGAAGACCCCTCAGGCAGCCACGGCGGTGAAGACCCCTCAGGCGACCACGGGCGGTGAAGACCCCTCAGGCGGCCACGGCGGTGAAGACCCCTCAGGCGACCACGGCAGTGAAGACCCTTCAGGCGGCCACGGCGGTGAAGACCCCTCAGGCGGCCACGGCGGTGAAGACCCCTCAGGCGGCCACGGCGGTGAAGACCCCTCGGCTGCCCACGGCGGTGAGAACCCCTCGGGCGGCCACGGCGGTGAAGACATTTCAGGAGACCACGGCGGTGACAACCCCTCAGCCGCCCACGGCGGTGAGGACCCCTCGGGCGGCCACGGCGGAGCAGGACGAAATGAAGGCCATGTCTGTATCGCCTCCATGGCCCTCACAAGGTACCTACTGCCCCCCCCCCAAAAAATACTTGGAGAAGTCCACAGGGAATTGAAGGGCACAGCTTGAACAGAGCTTGAAAGGCACAGGCAGAGCGAGGCGCAGAGGCGGGGCCGGCAGGGCGAGGCGCAGAGGCGGGGCCGGCAGGGCGAGAACTCCTGGTAAGCTCACCGAAGCCTGGCGAACTGAACGAGCCCTCCTTCTCCTCCTGCGGCGGCGTTTCACTTGAACTGAAGATTCAATCACCTGAACTGAAGACTCATTAAGACTCACTTGAACTGGAGATTCATCACTCGCGAGGCTTGAGTGAAGTGCAGGCTCGGCAGGGCTGACGGTCTCGGACTGGACGGTCTCTGGCTGGACGGTCACTGGCTGGACGGTCACTGGCTGGACGGTCTCTGGCTGGACGGTCTCTGGCTGGACGGTCTCTGGCTGGACGGTCTCTGGGAACGTCCCCTCGGCCTTCTCCTCAAAGCCCACAGTAAATGATGATCCGCTCAACAGAAGAGCCAGGTCAATGTATTGCTCTAAAGTCCCGTGAGGATCATGCAAGGGCATGAACGAACTGAGCGGTTCAGATAGTCCTCCACGAAAAAAGATCATTAAGCATACCTCATCTAGGCAGGTCAGGTGAGCAGCTCTAAAAAGTCAGCAACATAATTCTCAATGGAATGATCTCCTTGACGGAGACGCATTAGCTTGACTGCTGGATTCATGACGATGATGGCTGCTGGATCTTGTGTCGGCGAAGTCTTCTGTCACGGAGAGGCGGAAGCGTGCAGATCCATGTGCAGTATATGTTTATTAAGAATAGTCAGACAGGCAGAAGTCAACGATCAGCATTCAATATAGAGCAGGCAGTCCAGAGCATAAACAATACCAGGCAGAGGTCAGGACAGGCGGCAACAATCGTAATCCAGAGAGAGACAGGCAAGGGTCGGGGCAGGCAGCAAACAGAGAATCAAAGTCCTAGAACAGTCACGGGTCGATACACGGGCAATCCAGATAATCGGTAAAGAAACGCTCAGAAATGTCGCCGGGGCAAAACAAGACTTCGCACTTATAGAGAGTCTGAGGGCTGTTTATATGGAGCGTTGAAATGAGGAACACCTGTTCCGGTAATCAGTGCTAGGTACGGGGCTTATGGGAAATGGAGTTTGTGTGAAACCTAGTCTTATCTGGAGTGCCCTCTGGTGGATAAATAGGCCACTCCAGCTGGTAACCGTTACAGGAATAAAGAAAGTGTTCAGCAGGATTGATATTCTAAACGGTAAGGACACGCTGTTTTGTTTACGTTATGTGTATCTAAAGCCGGCAGCGTCGGTTTTCTTTTTGAATGACGAATATCCACAAGTTTCCTATGTCCCATGAGGCCTTGCGTCAAAAGTGGGCGCGTCTTCCGGTTGGAAGTAAACAAAGCGCGACTTGACATGCTTGACACTCGTTCATTCAACAGTTGACAGTCATTCAAGTTATAGCGATCCAAACTAGCTAACGATGTGGGAACACAACCTCAACGAAATTCAAAAGGGTGAAATAACAGTACCTTTACCCTCCGCAGTAGTTGATTGGGAGTATTATAATAACATTATTAATAATCAATACTCATCAAGGCACGGTGACAGACAGTTGTGTGAGCTGACAAACAATTAAAATAAAAAATACACACTTAGTCATTGTGCTTTGGAGTTTATTCAAAATTATAAATGAATGTGATACTTGAATTTATTAACTGGCACATTTGGTATTTTGTCAACACAGGCTTTGATCCTGAGTTTAGGTGTAACATCAGTAGCGAACAGCCAAACACATGCTGATAGAGTTTATAGAATATTAAGAATTTAAACAAATGTACACAGGAAGATTCGTCGTCTTTTGGGAGGTGATGGAAACTACAGTCGTTGGCAGGATCACTCTGATTTCGTATTCAGCTTATGTTCAAAACAATCCCGTTTAAGCCACTGAATTAGTTTAGTCAGGTTATACATACAACCGCGAACAGCACATGTTGTCCATGAGCTCCGTAACGACATCTCTCATAAAGATTTGCGTCTTTAAATAGTAAAATAATTCTCCGAAAAATAGCTAGCCTCTTTGCTAACTAACACACAAAACACCATTGGAATGCTACTTCCGCCGCCTCACCGTGTTCAAGTGCAGCTTTTTACCTCGACGAGAGGCGACAACAGTTGGCTTTTATCAGCGCTAGTTCGTTGGCGTCTGCTTGGTGTGTTTCGGGCTTAACAGCAATAGAGAACAACACTTCAGTCTAACCTGATTTAACAGGTGTGTTTGATGGTCATTGTGATTTTGCTGAGTTAACCCTATAACCATAACTTATCTCCAATACCAGAGAGAAATGATAGGTGAATAACACTGATGTACAAGCACTAAACTGTGTAAACTGAGCATATAATAAACTGTAAACTTGTCCCTCAAATCTGATTGGTTGATTGGAATGTTGTTCTGGATCAATAAAGATGTTTATCCAGGAACATGTTATACTTGATGAAAACACATTCACTCTGTTGGTCACTTAAGAAACTGTTCCCAGAGAGAAAAAAGGCACATTTTATTATTTTAATTAATTAAATTAATCATCACATTATTTTCATTGTTTATTTATTGTTGTTGTGCAGAAAGATCAAAACCCAGAGTGACCATTAAACCTGATCATCATGTGTTCAGTGGAGAGACGGTCACTCTCAGATGTGACATTGATACTGAAGGAGTCTCTAGCTGGATGTACAACTGGTTTAAAGAAGGTTCATTCATAGATTCCAGTAAACTACAGGAACACACTATCGATTTTGTCACTGAGTCTGAAGCAGGGAAATACTCCTGTAATATAACAGAGACTGACGGATCAGGCATTTCACGAAAGAGTGATGAAGTCACACTGACAGTATGGGGTGAGTTTGATCATCTCTTCATAAACACACACACAAGTTTAACATGTTATTAATGAGTGATGTCTGTATTTCAGATTCCACACCAGTGTTAAGTGTTTCTCCTCAGACGTGGTTGACTGAAGGAGATCCAGTGACTCTGAACTGTGAGGTTAACGGCTCTTCTACAGGCTGGACATTCAGCTGGTCCACTGAAACTCTCTTATCAGGTATTATAATGTCCTCCATGTGATATCATATACATTTACTGGTTTTAGCAAAAACATTATTAGAGATAATTTCCTTTAGTGATCATCTGCATATTCTCATTTAACACAGACAGGAGTGTTCACTATGAGCCGCTCTCAGACAGCAGAAGAGGAGCTGGAGGAAAATACACTATCAGTTCTGTTGCTGTAAATCACACAGGAGTTTATGTGTGTGGAGCAGAGAGAGGAAAATCAGTCTTTACAACATTTTACAGCAACAGACAACCACTGTGGGTCACTGGTGAGTTCACACTTTAGTTGAAATCAGTGATGCGCGGGTTGATCCGAAATGAGCGGGTGCCTGCGGACACCCGCGGTTACCCGCAGTTACGGGTCATCCAAAAATGTTTTTAATGATATTCGGGTCGCGGTCGGTCGGGTCGTTTGAAAAAAGATGCCAATTAAACATTTGTATTAATATAGTACTAGACACAATTTTTGATGAAATATACAGCCCTACACATTATTGGCTGAATAACTGGCATGAAGATAACACACGAGCTCAGTCTAAACAGTTCTCGGAGTCGGTTCTATACGGGTGATTCGAGAACTGTTGTCTCTGTGCGTTCGGTATACGCAGCATCTATGCGCAGTATCAGCTGCTCGTGCTCATCTCATCACTTCTCTCAACAGTGGCACCAACATGTCTCTGTTCAGTGAACTGTTGGAGTTACTGGAGTAAAATATAATTCAGGATATTGATTTAATTCGATACGGAGGGACTGTCAGGCATGTCTGAAAGTGAGTAACTTTAGTAACTTGTGGATCAGCACCGACACAAGATGTGAACTGTTTCGAACGATTCAGTTCGATTTAGTGTTACTGGTTCGACCGGTTCATTAAAAAGAACCGGTTCAAAAGAACCATCACTAGTTGAAATAATGTCTTCATCTTTAATAAAGACATTTTCCTAATTGTCTCTGTAATGATATCTTGTCAGGTGTTTCTCCTCCAGTGTCTCTGATCATCAGTCCCAGCAGAACTCAACACTTCACATCCGACTCTCTCTCTCTGAGCTGTGAGGACCAGAGTAACTCTGATGGATGGACAGTGAGGAGATTCAGAGACAATTGGTGGCCTGCAGATTGTTCATCATTTCCCTGGGGATCACAAACAGGATCTACATGTACAATCAGCTCCACCACCACATCATACACTGGAGTTTACTGGTGTCAGTCTAAATCTGGAGAGAAATATCATCCTGTTAATATCACTGTACACTGTGAGTCTGTGCTTCTGGATTTATTTATTTCACTGACAGTTTATAATCAATGCAAGTGGAAAACTAAAAAGGTCTGTTTTTTTTATTATTTAATTTTGCTTGTTATTATTATATTACCATTTTGTTGATGTATTGCATGTTTCCTCTATTTCTGAAGCTGGTGTGATTCTGGAGAGTCCTGTTCATCCTGTGACTGAAGGAGATAATCTGACTCTACGCTGTTTATATAATCATACATCCCCATCAAACCTCAGATCTGATTTCTATAAAGATGAATCACTCGTCCAGAGTCAAACTATAGAGATGATCATCCCGACTGTCTCAAAGTCACATGAGGGTTTCTACTACTGCAAACACCCGGAAGGAGAGTCTCTCAAGAGCTGGATCTCAGTCAGAGGTGAGAGTAAGATAAAAAAAACACCATTAAAAATAATCCTATACAATTTACATGTAGATATAAAACTTATCTGTTTCTCCAGCCTCAGGATCTGATAGTCTCAATCCTGTGATAATTGGAGTGATTGCAGGACTGACTGTTGCAGTTTTGATCATTGTCTTCTTGGTCCTGCTTTGGCGCTGCAGAAACAACAAAGGTTAAGTGCTCTAAATCAGTCATTTATGGCTTCATTTGTGGCCTATGAAAACAGTGAGAGAGGCAGCTTAATGTTTTGGAACACAACAATAATGTGATGAATTAATAAAAACATTTCATAAACAATTTGTAATTCTCAAACATGTACTGTATACATGAAAGAGATTAAAACCCACGGCCCAGATCTAGCCTACATTCGCCACATGTGTAATCTACATGTTCCAGATGTGGGCCGGATCTGGGCCAACATGTTGCTGTCTGAGAAAGTCAGTTTTCCTCAAAACATTTACTCAAATATTTCATGTTTGACTAGGTGTAAGATCTAAATCTCGCTCTACTATCAGCCAACAGCAGAACATCAGTCAGACATCAGAGCAGAACCAGAGTGAAGCCGGATACAACACACTGTCTGGTCAGTCTTTACTCATTAATATGCACGTAAATGTACACAATCTGAGATAAAAGACACGTAGGAATGACTTTTAACTATAATGCATATTTCAACTAGATAATTCACTCTTGATTTGCTCTACAAATAAAATAATAAATAAACTTTTAAAAAGAACTACTGAACTCATCATAATGACATGAAATACTTCAGAGGCGGAAAGTCCAGGGGTCAAAAAGTAAAAGTCCTGCCATATTTGTAGTGTTAAATTAACTTCACTGGGAGTTTATTTGGATCCAGACTCAAGAGTGTTAAAGATAATGAGATAATTAAGTGAATAATTGAGTGATGATTGACCATTATTGAAGACACCTGATGATAACAAGCAGAATCACTGAAGGAGAAAATCTATTTTATTCACCATTATGGGCTTTAGTTGGGCAGTTGACCTTTGAATATTTAACTTAAGATTTTGTTTGGCTATTGTAATTGAATTTTAACAGCCAGATGAACAAAGAGAAAAGGTGATCAGATGTTGTCGGTTATGTTTTGACAAAATCATTATTTGACTTGAATCACTGAACTCATATAGAGTCTAATCTTAGACTTTAATGTATAATGATCATAACAGCATCACAGTGATTCTATAGCATTATATCCAGATTTTTCAATATAAACCAAATGATATCTTAAAACTTGTTCTGATAAGAAAAAAAATCTTTCTTTTAGGCACACACAGACATCAAGATTCATTGTATGAATCTCAACAATGGTGACAAACAAAATATATTCAATTGGGAAAATGAAATTACAAAGACAATTCAGATCATAATTTATTCATAACGCAATGCATGATGGGGGCTATGAATGAGTTTTGATTGGAGGCACCCATAAATACATTGCAACATGCTTTATTATTGTCACCATTGTTGAGAATCTCAGGCTGATTCTTGATGTCTCTGTGTCTAACTAAAATGTTCTTCTTTTTAATAGAAAAACTTTTAAGAAATGTTTTGGATAATATTTAAATTACTGAAAATATTACATTGTGTAATCAAAAGGTTAAACAAATGAGACAACTGAGTTTTGTGACAAATGATGATTATGTCAATATATAACAAACGTCACCTCATAAGCTTTCCACGTTGTTCTTCTGGAAAAATGTGACTTTCTCCTTCAGTGATTCTGCTTGTTAACATCAGGTTTCTTCAATAATGCTCAATCATCACACAATAAACCACTTTTTGTGAAATTGTGAATTATGTCATTATCTTTAAAACTCTTCAGTCTGGATCCAAATAAACTTCCGGAGAGTTCATTTAACACTACAAATATGGCAGGACTTTTACTTTTGGCCCCTGGTCTTTCCACTTCTGAAGTATTTCATGTCATTCAAAGTTCACTCATCATAGTTCAGTAGATATTTTTTTAAAGTTTATTTATCATTTTATTTGTAGAGCAAATCATGTTAAACCAGTGTATTATTTCATTCTCTATTTGTAGATGTAACTGGGCCGACTGAGATCACATATGCTGAGGTTGAACTCCAATCTACAAAGAAACAGGAGAAAAGGAAAGAGAACAAAGGTAAACTGAAACAAAAGTCACTGCTCTTATGATTTTTATGATCATGAGTGATTCTTGCGAATTTGCACTGTAAACTGATCTGATCCAAAAAAGGTAATTGCATGCAAATTGTTTATTTTGAGGTTATTTGGATTACCTCTACTCATTTTGAAATAAAATTATCCTCTCTGTAACAAAAAAAAAAAAGATTAAACACTATGTATGTATATTTGGATGAGTTAAGGGTGATTGGGACATTAGTTCGAATGGGACAGTATAACTACAGTTTAAGTTCTCACCTACTTTTTTTATTTCTGAGCCCTAGCTGTGAGAACACATAATCAAAATTGGATATGCCCTTATTGGTGTGACACGTAGGTGGGCGTGTCATGCATCAAACAGGAAGTTGACCCGGAAATACATGAACTGAGGAAAATAAGCTGATTTCATAATAAAGTCCTAAAATTGTCATAACTACTATATTGTACAAACCTTTGATGGAAACACGAATATGATGCACTACTGATACAAAATCAGTAAACAATTTGTTAATGTCATGTTTCCATTTTCAGAATAGGTTGTTTGGTAACACTTTAGAATACGGTTCCTTCGTTAATGAATAACTACACAAGAACTAATGAGTAACACAATATTAACAATCTAGTAACTATTATTAACTAACAAGAAACTCTGATTAACGAACTAGTAAGTAATAGCGCACAGACGAAAGTGGTAGTTCACTATTAAGTAATCAATAACTACTATTTTTTAATACTTCCCAGAGAACTACTGAAAAAGTTTATTAACAATCTAGTAACTACTATTAACTAAAAGAAACTCTTATTAACGAATTAGTAAGTAATAGCTCACAGATGAAAGTGTTACTAGATACTTCTGTGGGAATTACTAATTATTCGGATTCGTATTATAAAGTGAAGATCATTGGAACTAACTAGTAATTACTCAAGTGTTACTACATGATCTAGTCATGATTTGTGCAAACGTTTGAGATTTTTGGTGAACTTTAGTAACTTTTAGAAAATGTCTTTAGTAACACTTGAGTAATTACTAGTTAGTTCCAACAAAAACATTCATGAGCTACTTCGATTTTGCTCAAATAAAACGACCAAATTCTGAAAATTGAAGCATAGTTGAACATTGTACATCTTTACATTTGGTTGCAGTAATATGCATGTTTCCATTAAAGGTTTTGTGCAGGTTAAATGTGTTTATCAAACAGTTCAAATGGATAGTGTCTTCAGTATTACAGAAATGTCTCATGTGTTGGGCTGATGTTTTTAATTGATGGCAAGAAACCTTACACAAGGTTCAAAAACCCTCCCAATCCCCTTTAATTGACCCATATGTTGTTCATGACATATTTCACATCACTGTTGGGTGTATCGTAAGCACATATGAACTGTTGGCATCTTCTAGGCAATAACAGTGAGAGCAGTGACATTTACTCAAAACTGAAGCTGTAAACAGATCAAGGTGAGTGTCAAACTAAAAACATCAATCACAATTCACAATCAGCTCATATATGCATTATTGGGTATAATGTAATGTGGGTGGTGACGGCGCAGTGGATAAGACACATGCCTTTGGTGTGAGAGACCCGGGTTCGAATCCACTGTGAGACACCAATGTGTCCCTGAGCAAGACACTTAACCCCTAGCTGCTCCAGAGGCGTGCGACCTCTGACATGTATAGCAATTGTAAGTCGCTTTGGATAGAGGCGTCAGCTAAATGAATAAATGTAAATGTAAATGTAATAATTCAGTTTATAAATGTGCATTGACATTGATATGTTTGCAGGTGCTGGATGTAGTGATGTAAGAAATGCCCGGAGGATGATTTTGATTTGTTTATTGATCCAACAATCAGCTATCTCATATTCATATGAGTGCTGTTCTTCCTGTGGTCAAAAATCACTATTACATATATTTTTTTTTTTTTTTTTTTTTTACAAATTAAACATACATTCATACAACAAACTGACCATAAACCATACAACAAACATCCATAAACAAAAAACATTGAGTAGAGATGAACTATAAAATATTCCTTAATTTAAGTTGGTTAAATTTAAATCAACATCATGAACTAAGAGCCCACTTATACTTAGGTTCACAGTCTTTCACTTACATAACAAATTCTTTAACAAAGCAGAAAAAAATAAATAAATAAAAAATAAGAAATCATATACAAACTTGAGTAAATACATACAATTTCAGTTTAATTTTAAAGACCCTCTTACTAGCTTCATTCACCAAAAAACTAGGTAATGAATTCCATGCTACCATGGCCCTATAGTGTAATGTTCTCTGACCAGCTCCTGTTTTATAACCAGGCAAGATAAATTTTCCTGCTGATGACTGACGTGTAACATAATCATGTCCATCCTGGAAAAACTTAAAATTATTAAATAAAATACCAGGAGTCCTTGTTGTTATAACATTTCTTGCAAAACCAAGAAGAGAATAATGTAACCTACTTTTCACTGGTAACCAGTTTAACATATTCAACATATCACAAACTCTGGTCCTATATGAACAATTAAGCACTATACGGGCAGCTTTGTTTTGTGCCACCTGTAATCAATTAAGATTATATTCTGATGTATTGGACCATATAACTGAGCAATAATCTAACTGAGAGAGAACCAAACTTTCCATTAATTGTTTAATCAAATGTCTTGGTAAATATATTTTACAATACCTAATTGCAGCCATCGCTCTCCCCATTTTTTTTAACATTTCATCAATCTGATTTGCCCAGGATATACGGCTATCAATCAATACACCAAGTAACTTAACTTCTGTAACCTGTTCTATTTCTATATCATCTAGTTTTAATTGTAATAATGGCTCTACTCTGCCTACCCTCTTAGAACATAATACACTACATTTTGTTTTTTCTATATTAAGTACCAATTTATTTACATTAACCCATCTCCTAATACGCACTAACTCTTCATTTAGAGTCTCTTCAAGCTCTCTTGATGTAGACGCTGATGAATATATGGTGGAATCATCTGCATACATAGCAATGGATGCATTGGTTAAAACTAAAGGTAAATCATTAGTAAATATTGAAAATAAAAGCGGCCCCAAACAACTCCCCTGTGGCACTCCACAACTCATAACTCTCATTTTTGAGAAACCTCCATTGAAATATACACAATATTTTCTATTGGTAAGATAACTATCAATCCATGCAACAGAATCCCTGTCAAAACCATAACAGTGCAATTTTTTAGTTAACAATTTATGATCCAGAATATCAAAAGCAGCACTGAAATCTAGTAAAACAGAGCCCACTATCTTTCCTGCATCAATTTCTTTCAGCCATTCATCAGTCATTTGTGTTAACGCTGTAGCTGTAGAATATCCCTTCCTATAGGCATGTTGATGAGCTGTGTTCAAGTCATTTATACTAAAATAGTTTTGAATTTGAGCATATACTATTCTTTCCATAATTTTACTTAGGGTGGGTAATATACTTATCGGTCTACTATTCTTCCCTGAAAAATTCTTATTGTGATTTTTAGGCAATGGGATTATCTTTGCAATTTTCCACTGAGCTGGGCATACTGATTTCTTCAAACTTAAATTAATAATATGTGAGATAGGTAGGGCCAAGACATCTGCCACAGGTTTAAGCAATCTTACATCCAAATTATCAATACCTGCTGGTTTATCCTTGCTTGATCTTATTAATCTTTCTACTGTAGACATAGTGACGTTTTCAAAATGAAAACTACATGATTTATTCACCATCAGCTTTTCAGTAATAAGCTCAGATGAATGCTCTACATAGTTATCAATTGTCATCATATTATTTTGTAATTTCTGAATTTTATCACTAAAATAACCACTCAGATAATTAGCAATTTCACTTGGTTTAGTAATGAATTTTCCCTCAGCCTCTAAAAAAGAAGGTGTCGATCTACCACTTTTGCCCATAAGCTGATTAAGAACCTTCCAAATTGTCTTACTGTCAATATTATTACTACTAATTCTATTATAATAATACTTTTTCTTTTTGACTTTATTCAACATTGTAACAAAGTTTCTTAATTTACGATATTTACCCCATTCTCTTTCACTACCTGATTTTACAGCATCTGCCTTAGCTCTATCTCTCTCAATCATATGTGTTTTTAATTCCTGATCCAACCACGGAGACACAAAATTCCGCACATTAAACTTCTTAATTGGTGCAAATTTATTTACAATGGGGAGTAATACATTATCAAACTCACCCAAAGCAAGATCCGGATCTTCTTTTCGTAAAACTTCAGACCAGTCCACCCCTCTTACTTCATTACAATAATTGTTTTCATTAAAGTTTTTAAAAACTCTCTTGAAAACAATTTTCTGACCCGTTTTTGGTATTTTTGTTTTCCTTCCAATAACAATAAGGTTGTGATCACTACAACCCACTGGAATGGAAGCTACACTGGAACACAGCTCAGAAATATTTGTAAATATCAGATCAATACAAGTTGCAGATATAACTCCATCCCCTCTTCTACATATTCTAGTAGGCTTCTTAACTACTTGTGATAAATTACATGTATTCGCTAGAGAAAGTAGTCTCGCCTTAAGTGGACAGTCTCTCACACTCCAATCTATGTTAAAGTCTCCTAAAAAAAACAATTCATAATTTGTATCACATACTTTGTCCAGCATTTTACATATATTATCCAAGTACAATATGGTAGCACTTGGGGTCTATAGCAACATCCCATCAATATTGATTTTATATAAGGAAGTTTTATTTCCAGCCACAAAACTTCCACCTCTTTACATCCTAGATCACTTCTAATTTTAACTGGTATATGCTCTTGACAATAAACGGCTACCCCACCTCCCTTGATTGCACCTCTATCCAGTCTAAACAAATTATAACCTTCTATTTTCAATACATCACTATTTATTTCTGAACTCAGGTGTGTTTCTGATATTGCAAGCATATGTAATTTATATTCAGTCAATATCTCAGCAACATCAACAACTTTATTACGTAAACTACAAATATTCAAATGACCCAACCTCAATCCCTTTTGTGGTAATATTGGACCATACATCCTACTTCAGTGGGCTATCAGTTAACCAACATAACATTGCATTAAAAATAAAGCCGTCTTCTACACAAAGTCCCATCAACACATAACACAAACACTCCCCCTACCCATTTCCTCCCACTCACCATACATCCATTCAACCACACCAATCACACCCACACACACACACACATACACACACACAACCAACATAATATCCCAGTAAAATGTAATATACTTAACGCCATCTCCAACTAATCAAAAATTCAATGTTTCTCTGTGACTTTCATGAAACTATTATAACCCATAGTCCTCTTACGGTTTAGTTCATTTCAGATGTTTGTCCGCAGCTTCCCAGTAAGCTTCCGCCTTCTGATGATCCGTGAATTTCCGCGTCTCATTTCCATGGGTAATGATTAAAGTGGCTGGATGAATAATTCCATGTTTTACACCAGCAGCTCTGAGTTTTTCCTTATTTCGCCGAATTTTGCCCTCGCTTGGCCATATCTGTCGTTAGATCAGGGAAGAACTGAAGCCTTGTCTCCCCATATCTAAATATACGTTCCTTTTTAGCCAGCACCAATATCTCTTCCTTTGCCATGTAACGTTGCATCCTCATAATCATTGTTTTGTTCGCAGGGCCAACGCGGTGGGCAATTTCAACCACAGGCTCAGTCCAATCTTCCCTTTAAACAACTCCTTCACCAGATTGTTCATGTAGGCTGTCGGA